CACAGCACCACCACGCAAGGCAGCCCTTGGCGGCTGACAGAACACGCCTGCAACACACCAGACTATGGGACCTAGAGCCACCAAGAAATCGAAATTCACAGGGATGTGATGGAAGGCAAAAGGCTGGCATGTTCCAACAGCAAAGGTCAGACGCAAAGCATCTGTGCAGACAGGTTTCCTTCTGCTCCAGCGTAAGCCTCACTTGCAGTGCGGGGCTGGGTATATTTAGCCCTGACTGTCTTCTCCCCTGTGCAGATGGCATCTCTCAATGCTGCTGTGGCAGGCAAGTAGCAGAGAAATAACTCAAGGGGAAATTGACTGTGAAGCCTTAAGGAGAGCTCTCTCAAGATGGGGAGAGAAAGGCTGAGAAAGAAATACAATCAGGTGCTCACAGTGGGGAACGTGAGGTGCTGACAGAGCAGCAGCCAGCTCCAGGGAGCATGTGCACTGAGGAAGGCAGAGACTGCTGATGGCAGGAGCCTGGGAGGGTCTCTGCTGCCCAGTATGCAAGGGGTTGGGAGTCTGTCATTTAACAGCAGTGGCCAGTCATGGCTCCTGGCTCAAAGGGCAGAGCACTGTGAGGCATGGTATGGGATTATACAGGGCTGGTGGTTAAGATCCAGCTAAAGAGACAGAAGCTGTCTTTTGCACAGTCTGATCCTAGGCAGAGGAGTGTTGATGGGTTCAAAAGCACATTGTGAGCCGCGGTGGTGGCACAGACTGTATCCTTAGTACTCGGGTGGCACTAGCAGGAGAATCTCTTAATTTGAGGCTCCCTGGGGTTACAGAACAAAGTTTATCTCAAAAATAAACAAACAAACAAAATAGGAGGAGGAGGAGGAGGAGGAGGAGGAGGAGGAGGAGGAAGAGGAGCAAAGAAGCCAGCCAAATGGCTCAGAGGGTCAAGGTGCCTCCTTGCACAAGCCTGGTGAACTGAGTTCAATACCCGGAACCCACATAAAGGTGAAAAGGGAGAAGAAACTCCAGAAAGTTGTCTCTGGCCTTTACACACTTACTACAGCATGCATGAACCCCCAAATCTACTTGCTATAGCATGCATGAACCCCCAAACCTGCTTACTACAGCATGCAAGAACCCCAAAACCTACTAACTATATAGCATGCATGAACCCCCAAACCTGCTTACTATATTGTGCATGAACCCTGAAACCTACTAACTATATAGCATGCATGAAGCCCCAAACCTTGCACCCCCCACACGCACACCAGAAAAAAAGTCTAAAGAAAGAAAAAGAAAGCAAACTACATGTGTACAGGTGTGTATTTTATTATTTTTATTTTTATTTATTTATTTTTAATATTTTACTTATTTTTTTTAAATTTTATGTGTATGCATGTATTGCCTGCATGTAGGTAGGTGCATCTGTGTCGTGCAATGCCCGCAGAGGACAGAAAAGGCTGTCGAATCCCCTGGAACTGGAGTTACAGACAGTTGTTAGCTGCGATGTAGGTGCTGGTGATTGCAGGTGCCCACAGAAGCCAGACATGTTGGAGCCCCCAGGACCTGGAGTTAAAGGTGGCTGTGAGTTGCCTGATGTAGTTGCAAGGAAACTGAACTCAGGTCTTCTGAGAGTGGTATGTGCTATTAACTGCTGAGTCATCTCTCCAGCTCCTGTACTAGTTTTTTCAAGTTAACATGCAAAGTAATGGGCTTCATTATGGCATTTTCTTTTTTTAATAAATTTTTAATTTTTTTAGAATTTTATGAGTATTTAATTTACATTATTTCCACCCCTCTCATCC